GGGCAAAATCTGGAAGCATTCCCTTTGAAAACCAGCACAAGGGAAGGATGCCCTCTCTCACCACTCCTATTTCTGGCCAGGGCAACTAGGCAAGAAAAAGAAATAAAGGGTATTCAATTAGGAAAAGAGGAAGTCAAATTGTCTCTATTTGCAGATGACATGATTGTATATTTGGAAGACCCCACGTCTAAGCCCAAAATCTCCTTAAGCGGATGAGCAACTTCAGCAACGTCTCAGGATACAAAATCAATGGCAAAAGTCACAGGCATTCCTATACACCAATAACAGACAAACAGAGAGCCAAATCATGAGTGAACTCCCATTCACAATTGCTACAAAGAGAATTAAATACCTAGGAATACAACTTATAAGTGATGTGAAGGACCTCTTCGAGGTGAACTAGAAAACATTGCCCAAAAAATTAAGAGAGGACCCAAACAAATGGAAAGACATTCCGTGCTCATAGTTAGGAAGAATCAATATTGTGAAAATGGCCATATTGCCCAAAGTAATTTATAGATTCAGTGCTATCCCCATCAAGCTACCATTGACTTTCTTCACAGAATTAGAAAAAAAAAATTTAATTTCATATGGAACCAAAAAAGAGCCCACATGGCCAAGACAATACGAAACAACAACAACAACAACAAAAAAAAAGCTGTAGGCATCATGCTACTGACTTGAAACTATACTACAAGGCTACAGTAATCAAAACAGCATGATACTGGTACCAAAACAGAGATATAGACCAATTGAACAGAACGGAGGTCTTTGAAGCAATGCTAAACATCTACAACCATCTGATCTTTGACAAACCTGACAAAAACTAGCAATGGGAAAAGGATTACCTATTTAATAAGTGGTGTTGGAAAAACTGGCTAGCCATAGAAACCATGATTCTCAGCAAACTGATACAAGAACAGAAAACCAAACAATGTATGTTTTCACTCATAAGCGGGTGTTGAGCAAGGAGAGCACATGGACACAGGGAGGGGACCATCACACACAGGGGACTGTCAAGGGAAGGGGGACTATGGGAGGGATAGTTCTTTACATATTCTGCAGATAAGTCTTTTACAAGCTATATGTAATATAAACTCTTTTTCTCCATCCATAACTTGCTTGTTTGGTTAATGCTGTCTTTTTATGAGCAAAGTTTTTAATTTTGATCAAGTCTAATTATCAAGCTTACTTTAATGGTTACTAATTTATTTGCTAACACTAAGGTTGCAAACATATTCTCCTATGTGTGCTTTAAGATGCTTTATACTTCGGGATTTTATATTTAGGTATATGATTCATCTGGGTTTCTGTGCAAGATTTGAGATGGAATTCAAGGTTTATTTGGTGGTTACACACAAATCTGTGGAAGTCGTGCTGTATGTGAACGACTCTGCCATTACTGCAAGTGCATGCCCTTCTTTACTTCTCTTCTGATATTATTTTTTATCTCTTTTCACATTCACATCTATAAGAATGAGTAGTCCGACATGTTTTTCTTTTTCTTCGAAGTTTTAAACTTCAGGGTTTCCTATGATTCCTTCTATCATTATGATTAAACATATTGTCCTAATTATTCTTCTAATTTAAATTGCATTTTTTAGCCTTAACTCTCTAATCCAGAGTTTTGTATATATTGTGCAACAGGAGTTCAGTTTCTTTTCATTTTAATTCTTGAATACTTCATCTTTAATCTTTAAAAGCTATTTATGAAATATGCATTTATTTCTGTAGCTCTCAAAATTTCTGATTTTAGTTGCATTATACTATATATGTATGTGTATGTATATATAGAGATAAATACACTTTGGAATTTGATATTTTACTGTAGTAAATGATATTTCTATGTCTCAATACTTTTTCAGATCTTGTTATAAGTAGCCAACAATTATTTTTACCATGTTTTTCAAAAAGGCATTGTCCCTTCTTTTTATATTTCTAAATATTTTATGATTTTTACATTTTCTGTACTAGTAGATTTTCATTCTCTGTATCGACTGATCTGTCTCTTTAGTTTCAGGAGCAGTAGTTTGCTCTGTGGCCTCAATTCTCAAATGGATCTGTTTGGTCAGCTTTTTTCTTACTGTGTGAATGGAAGCAATGACTTCCAAGCTCTTTACATGCCAGACAAGAAGTTGTAGTGTAACGTTTTCAAGATTCACCTATGTTTTAGCATGTATCAGTACATTATTCTTTTCTATAAATGGAATAGTCTGTACCACATTTTGTTTATCCATTCCCCAATTGGTGGACATTTGGATTGTTTTCACTTTTGGAATATTTTGAATGATGCTGCTGTGAACATTCATGTGCAAGTCTTTTTGTGGATATGTTTTCATTTATCTTGGTTATATACCTCTTAGTGGAATTGCTGGGTTGTGTAGGAAATTTATGTTTAATTTTTAGGAAGCTGCCACACTACTTTTTAAAACGGCTGTGTCATTTTACCATCCCACCAGCACTGCGTGAGTGTTCTCATTTATCTATGACCTTGCCACCATTTGTTACTGTCTGTCTTTTTTATGATAGTCATTGTAGCAGGTATGAATTGTTTTTTTTTTTTTTTTTTNTTTTTTTTTTTTTTTTTTTTTTTTGTTTAGTGTTTTTTTTTTTTTAATTTTTTTTTTTTTTTTTTTTTTTTTTTTGAGACAGGGTCTCATTCTGTTGCCCAGGCTGGAGTGCAGTGGTACGATCTTGGCTTATTGCAACTTCTGCCTCCCAGATTCAAGCAATTTTCTGCCTCAGCCTCCCAAGTAGCTGGAATTACAGGTGCCTGCCACCACACCCAGCTAGTTTTTGTATTTTTCTTAGAGACAGGGTTTCACCGTCTTGGCCAGGCTGGTCTTGAACTCCTGTGATCCAACCTCCTCGGCCTCCCAAAGCGCTGGGACTACAGGCATGAGCCACCATGCTCCGATGAATTATTGATATTTTTACACTAGAAATAATGCATACATACATGGTTAAAACGCAAATGATATAGAGAAGTATGCAATTAATAATTAAAAGCACTTTTCCTTTGCCAAATCCTGTCTCAAAAGATAACTAGTCTCAAGTTTGTTGTATAACACAAAGAAAAAACATGTTTAGAGCACTATGAATTCTGTGCTGAAAGTCATATATATATTTATACATATGCATGTAATTATATTCAATTATAAAGGTATATATATATATATATATATATATATATATTAACATAAATGTAATCACACATCTTCTCTGCAATTTAAGTCTTTTTTTACTTCAATAGCTTTGTGGGGGTATAAGTGGTCTTTGGTCCCCTGGATGAATTGTATGGTGAGTAGTATTCCATGATGTATGTGTTTGTGTGTATATGCATATATACATACACACACACACATATATGTGTGCATATATAAATAAAACTTTTTTGTGTGTATATACACGTGTGTATATGTATCTACGCACACACACACACACACACACACACACACACACGTATACACACCACATTTTCTTTATCTACTCATCATTGCTTTTGGGGTCTTAGTCACAAATTCTTTGCCTAGGCCAATGCCCAAAATAATTTTGTATAGGTTTTCTTCTAAAATGTTTATGGTTTCAGGTCTTACATTTAAGTCTTTAATCCACCTTGAGTTAACTTTTGTACGTGGCAAGAGATGGGGATCCAGTTTCCTTCTCTACATGTGGCTTTCCAATTTTCCCAGCATCCTTTATTGAATTGGATGTCCTTTTGCCAATTTCTGTTTTTGTATGCTTTGTCAAAGATCATTTGGTTGAAGTAGTTGGCTTTATTTTTGGGCTCTCTATTCTGTTCCATTAGTCTATGTATTTACTTTTATAACAGTACCATGCTTTCTATACAAGTACCAGTCTTTGTCATTAAATCTCTGCCTGATCCTATGTCAAGAATGGTATTGCCTAGGTTGTCTTCCAGGGTTTTTATAGTTTGGTATTTTACATTTAATTATTTAATCCATCTTGAGTTAGTTTTTGTATAAAGTTTAAGGAAGGGGTCCAGTTTCAATTTTCTGCATATGGCTAGCCAGTTATCCCAGCACCATTTATTGAATAGGGAGTCCTTTCTCCATTCTTTGCTTTTGTCAGGTTTGTTGAAGATCAGATGGCTGTAGATGTGCGGCCTTATTTCTGTTCCATTGGTCTGTGTATCTGTTTTTGTACCAATACCATGCTGTTTTGGTTACTCTAGCCTTGTATAATAATATGTCTTGAAAGTATTTCCATATCGGCACATCGAAATCAATCAAATTCTTTTTAAGTCCTTTATATTTGGATCTACCATAGTTTATGAGCCTCTATTAAATAGGCACTTTGGTTGTTTCCATTTTTTCTGTGTAACAAACAATGTTGCAACAAAGATTCTTGAAATCAATAGATATTTTCTGACTCCATCTTAGTTTCCATTAGCTTGAAGATAAGTCTTTGGCCTAAAATTGACTTGCTGTTATTTCTTCCCTGATACTAATTACATTGGTCCTTTTGTTGCAGTTTACAAATTGGCCTCTCACTTAAAACTGACTGATTTTTTGAAGAATCATAGGCATATTAAGTATATACATTTTTTTGTATGCCAAAATACAAAATTCTAGTGTCTCCATTAAGACTTCTTAAAGTGTGGTCCCTGGGCTAGCAGCATGGGCATCGTCTGGGAACTTACAAGAAATGCAGTTTCTTGGGCCCCAACCCCAGGAGTACTGAATCAGAAGCTCTGGGTTCAGGTCCAGAAATCTGTTTTAATAAATTGACTGAGTGATTCCGTTGCTGGCTAAAGTTGGAGAACCATTATCTATATTTGTACTGCTCTAAGTTGAGAATGTTGCAGTACCATTTCTGTAAAAACAATAGGCAGTTAAGATTTATCTGCCACTTTTCGTTTTCATTGTTTATATTATTCATACATTTTGTTTTCCATGATATCATCTATAACAAAAATTATATCAACTAGGGTAAAATATAAAACTTGTTTTCAATTAACATATACCTTTTCTTTAAAGAGTTACATGCTGCTACCCGAAAATCTGTACCACACCCATACTTTTGAGAATGAAGGAAATTCTGAGCAAGATAAGCAACATGACAAATTCAGAAATGCAGCAAAGAAAATTGCAAGTATTTAAGCTTTTTGAAAATAACACTGACTTGTGTGGATGATGCTTATTGAAAAATAGCCAGAAATACAGTGGGATAAACAGGGTAGAAGATCATAGAAGGTCTGACAAGGCAGTGGTGAGTTTGAAAGTTTCAAATTACTTTTCTTCTTTTTAATTTTAAAAAAGGTATGCAATTAATCTTTTAAATCACAAATAATATTCACCCCATTCAAAATATTAATTTTGAAGTGTATAACCCACTTAAGATGTAAAAAATATATGACAATAATCTGCTATGTGTTAAAGCATATTCTGTAGAATTTGTAATGGCACAAAATATAACTGCTAATAATTTTAAAGATATGATTCTTGCCAATCGAACGTTTTATAACACTAAAATATTATTCATAGCTACCTTTTTCTGTCCCCTGAAGAGCATAAATGTTATTGGTTATAAAATTGTCTTAAACCCATTCTGGGTTATCACTGACATACATATTTAGACTGACAGAATATTCTTTTATGCCTTAAATGTTCTTATTTTTCCATAGCAAGAATCAGAGGAATGAGCAGTAATATATTCTATCTAAATATTTTGGAGTTATGTATCTGCCAAAAAATAATAAAGAAAATTGGATTTCTAGTCAAAATAAAATGAAATAAAATAACTGAAATAGTTTCTATCCTTTATAGTCCCCCATTGTAAAGATACTTATATTTTATATAGTAACAAAAAATAAACAATGTATATAGTAAGAAAAACTCATGAATTCAGCATAATGAAACTGTCAAGAGAAAATAAATGGAGCAATTCTTCCCTAATAATTATTATCTAAAACTGTGACAATCCCAGAGATAACATAAATGTAAACTATATTAATAACTGTTGAATAAGGTGGATTTTATGCTGCTTTCTATAATTGTTTTTCCAACGTAAGTTTTCATTTAGTATAGAAGTCAACCTGCATTGGATGGTGATTGTTAGGGTTATTTAAACTAGATCAAATCTAGCTTCTCAGTTTGCCCCTATGAACTACCGGGATAAAAATGCCAGCTCTGTCTTAATTCCCATTAGTTATGTCTGGAATGCAGCAGGCTTTCTATAAAACATTGAGGTGGTTTTATTTTGACTGAAGCTCTACCTTTATAGATATTTATTTGATTAAATGAGGTGATGTATTTGCTAAATCAGTGCTTTTCAAACCTAAATACAAAACAGAATTCACCTGGGGCTTTTAAAAACTACCAATTTTCTGCCTCGCATCCCCAGACCAATTAAACTAGATTCTCTGTGTGATTCTAATATACAGCCAGAGTTGAGAACCATGGAGTTTATTGTTTGAAGAGGATACAAGGAAAACAAACCGATTCCCAAGCCCATATGCAAATGGTTGCAGTTGATTTTTTTTTTTTAACCAGATCCTGTAGCTACTGGCAGAGGAGACCCATTTCATAGATTCAAGCTATCTTGGCTTCATTTACAAGTTTCTCCTCTCAGACCATCTTTTTTATGGCAGTTATGACTCCTCTTTTCCAATACACTATTTTTTACTGTCACTATCTCTAATTTTTTAATTAAATTTAAGTTCTGGTATTTATGTGCAGGACATGAAGGTTTGTTATATAGGTAAATGTGTGCCACGGTGGTTTGCTGCACCTATCAATCCATCACCTAGGTATTAAGGCCCGCATGCATTAGCTATTTTTCCTGATGGTCTCCCTTCCCCCACCCCACACAGGCCCCAGTGTGTGTTGTTTTCTCTTCCTTTGTCCATGCATCCTCATTGTTCAGATTTAACTTATAAGTGAGAACCTATTGTGATTGGTTTTCTGTTCCTGCATTAGTTTGCTAAGGAAAATGGCTTCCACCTCCATCCATGTCCCTGCAAAGGACATAATCTCATTCCATTTTATGGCTGCATAGTATTCTGTGGTGTATATGTACATTTTCTTTATCCAGTCTAACGAGATTCTTCCTACAGGCAGATTAAGGACTTAGACATTAAGGGTGAAGGGTGAGAAACTTGGTTAGATATCAAGCATGTGAGATTCTCACTAAACTGACTTAGCAGGATTCTTTGCTTACAGCAGGCCAAGGCCAAGGATGAGGCCTAGTTGAGAAGAGGTCTTAGAGAAGCCTCACTAAAGTTTGATCAAGGAGGGAGTCATTGTCAATGTTCAGCTAAAAAGAATATTTTAGCATTGAAAGATCATTGATTTTTTAAAAGAACTCTAGATAATATTTTGAAACATGCCTTTCAATTAGTGGAAAATATGCCTCAAAATCAAGACATGGACAAGACTGAACATTTCAGAAAGGTTAGAAGTTGAATTAAATAAAAATTACAATTACTTATTGGTTTATTTTCAGAACTCATCTTTATCATATGAAACAGTTTTGAACTTCTAAGATCAAGCGTTTTTGTTGCTGAGGGTAAGAAAAGAGCTCTGTGTTGAGATTCCAGCTTGCTTCTATTCAGCAGTGTCCCTGTAGTGCTTTCTGGTATGATGTAAAATTAAAACTTGTGCTCTGCATGTTTTGAAAATGTATGGTTCTTTAAATGTCATGTTATTTGCAAGTCTAGTCTGTATGATTGTCTAATAGAGAAAAGTCACCTCCACACATTTCTTACACTTCCAGTTAAAGGAATTTAATTTAGAAAAAAAATATCTTGCTTTACTTTTTTCATACTAAAACTAGAAATGTATCAAAGAGATCCGTACAAAATATTTATTTATATAACATTTATTAAACCTAGTGAGGCTACAAAGCAATTTACCAGATTTAGCTGAACTATGAAAGATATTGTTTATAAACTCAAAGAACTTATACTGTGTCAGAACGTTTTCATGAATATTAAGTTTAACTGACACTAGTTAAAATAATTACTTCATTGACACTAGTTAAGAGGAACATTGAAAAGTATAATAGGAAAAATTTCTTGTAAATATTAAATGTTAGGAATCCAGTATCTTCATATTGTCTTATTTTCTCTTTTGGCCCTGAGACTCATCAATTTTCATTATAGTCACCATCATCATCTAATCATGTGCCTATTTTTATGTGACAATTTGTCTCATTTTTAGAACTTGTATCAGCTTCTAATATTTCTAAATAGTATTAATTAATATTTTCATTTCTTGTTTACTTAACCCAAATGAATATGACAAAATAAAAGAACAGTATATTTAATTAGATCTTATTCAGAATCTAAAAATTATCACAGCATTTCAAAACCTGCTTATATTGGTAGGCTACTGCTTTAGTAATATTTAAATTTCTGTGTTTAGTAGTTTAACTCTTTCCCATGTTATTAGCTCAGTATATAATAGACAGTATTTGTGGATTCCAGAGATAGATTTGAAATCGGCTCTTTGTCAAATCCATGGTGGCTCTCAGTAGTACACAGTCACATTTTAATGAAAAACAGATATATTCTCCATCAGGATAGTAAGTTACTCTTGAAAAATAAGAGGCCTTAATTTGAGACTTAAGTAGAGGATAACAGTTTATCCCATTTTCCCTACCTCTGTTCTGTATATTTCCTTAAGCAAACCTAGAGCTCAGAGTTTCCATTATAACAAATCATATATGATGTATAATTTTCTATTTCCTGTAGTGTAAGGGTTCAGTCAGGGTGGTGGGAGAAATTAGAAGAGAAAAATTATAGAGAAATAGATGCAAACCTTCTTGGAAGGCTGGGAGGTTTGTGCAAAAGCCTTGAGAAGGAATGAGAGGAAGGCAGTGGTTCTTACACAGAGGCAATTAGGCAGGAGTAGATACTAAGGAATGTGGGGGAGTTTAACTAAAGAGCTTGTTTACTCATGTGGCCCTAAGACCAACCTTTGAACATCCACAAGCACATGACTGCTCTCTACTAGGGTGATCAACAATGTTACCCACAAATGGTGATTGCTGTAGGCCTTGGGACATGGCTTTTAATCATTGTAGGACTGCTCTCTCTGGGGAAGGCAACCATTTTAATTATCCACAACTATGCTGACTCAAAGCCTCTGTCATTAAATCTATATGGAATGAATGCCTGCAGTGCCAGCTGGTAAGGACCATGGCTGCTGAGTATAGCACCTTCCTTGGGGTTTATAGCCCACTCTTTCACTGGATATCTGTGTCTGAGTGCATTTGTTCATCCCACTCTTTCACTGGGTATCTGCCTCTGAGTGCATTTGTTCATCCATCAGCTGGTCAGGGTCTGCGAGTTGGACCCAACATTGTAAGATTCTTTTCACAACTTAATATTTGAAAGACGATCATTCAGCCTCTACTTAATTATGTATCTAGTTACAGAGATCTTCCTCTCTCAATTGTAGGAAGCCTCTCACTGTTAGAAATGGTTCATAACAGTTGGGTGTGGTAGCTCATGCCTGTAATCCCGGCACTTTGGGAGGTCGAGGTGGGTGGATCACACGGTCAGGAGTTCAAGACCAGTCTGGTAAACATGATGAAACCTGTCTCTGCTAAAAAAAAAAAAAAAAAAAAAAAAAAAAAAAAAAAAAAAAAAAAAAAAAAAGAAATGGTTCATAACATTGAGGTTAATTCTGGCATCATACAAGTTGTACCCATTGATGAAACTAGAATGAAACTAAAAAAATATTTTACACTTGATTTTAGCCAAAAGGCCAAGAAGCAATTTAAAAAATATTTTAAAGGAGATTAAATGAGATAATAAAAGTATAGCCTTTGGGTCAATGCCTGGCACCAAAAACATTTGTTTATTTTCAACAGATCAATTGAAAATGCTTTATAAGAATAATCTCTATGGCTGTGAAGATTAAATAATATTTTTGGACATGTCATTGTTGAGTGGGATCATTCGGAATAGGGATATATTATATCCTATTATATTATAGAATATAATATATTCCTAATAACATATCTATACTCTGCTTAATTAGGAATAACCCTTACATGTTTTAACAACATAATATTGACTGCAAAATTCAAATTACATGAGAAACCATAATATTCAAAACAAAAACTCTCTATAAGCACTGAACTCTAGTCATTAAATTTGTTTCTTGTAGGCGTACAGATTAACAATTCTGAAAACACTATGCGTATGCTGAGGTTGAATAAGTAAGTAAAGGGATGATGAAGAGTGAGAGCTGGGCTTTACATGTTTGGAGTGTGAAATAGGTAGAGGTAAGCAAGATGGAAAGCCTGGATTGAGACCCAAGGTAATGGGCATATGGAGGTTTTTGAACTATTTTAACAATTTCTCTGTAAATTTAAAATAATCACCCACAGAGCATTTGCAGAACGCAATGAGAAGATGAATAGGAGGCCCTAAATTTTAGATGTGGACAGAGGAACAGCTTCTGTTTTGAGTGTATGTGTTGGATTTTATAATTTAAACATGATACTTCCAGGTTATGTTTTCTATTTCCAAAGTGGTTAGAACATACCATATTTGTCTCATAGGGGAGGGATAATTGACCTTAAAAGTCTTGGAAAGAGCATTATAACCACCAGCCAGGAGATCAATAGGATAGTAATTGTCCTTAATCTGGCAATATGGTTTGCTAATATTTTCCCCCCTATGCCTTTTCATTTTATCTTTTTGCAATTAAAGCCACTTTCAGTGTTCCAGTGGCAATAATTACATTCACAATGTTATGTAACCATCTCCACTATTTCCAAAATTTTTCACCATCCCAAACAGGACTCCACAGCCATTAGGAATAACTTCCCACTTACACTACCCCCCAGTACCTTTCTGTCTGTAGGGAAGTTAACTATTCAAGGTATTTCATGTAAGTGGAACATACATTTGTCTTTTTCTATTTACTTCACTTAGCATAACATCTGCAAGGTTCACCCATGTTGTAGTATGTATCAAAACCTCATTCCCTTTATAGCTATATAGTATGCCATTGTCTCATATGCTGCATTTTGTTTATCCATTCACTTATCAATGGACTCTTAGATTATTTCCAAGTTTTGGCTCCTGTGAATAATGCTGCAATTAACATGAGCATATAAGTATCTGTCACGACCTACTTTCAATTTTTTGACTCTATATCTAAAAGTAGAAACGAGGGGTCATATGGTAATTTTACATTCACCTCTTTGTGGAAGCACCGAACTGTTTTCCACAGTAGCTGTGCCGTTTTACATTCCCACCAGCAGTGCATTCTGGTTTCTGATTTCTATCCTTACCAACATTTATTTTCCACTTTTAAAAAATTAGAGCTATCCTAATAAATGTGTAGTGGTACCTCATTATGGTTTTAGTTTGCACTGCCCTGATGGCTGATTTTGAGCCTCTTTTCAAAATATGTTACCCATTCGTGTATCTTCTTTGGAGCAATTAGTAAGTGCTTTGCCATTGTTTTTTGTAGATAGCTTGATTCT